CTCTGTGTTGAGTACAAGCTAGAAGTCCCAAAGTCAAAATGGGATACACCTCCAAAGGTGGTTGAGAATGACCAAGCTAAGATCCTGTGGGACTTCCAGATACAAACTGACAAACTGGTAATGGCCAACCAACCAGACATAGTAGTGGTGGACAAACAGAGGAAGAAGGCCGTAGTGATAGATGTAGCAATCCCAAGTGATAGCAACATCAGGAAGAAGGAACACGAGAAGCTGGAGAAATACCAAGGGCTGAAAGAAGAGCTTGAAAAGATGTGGAAGGTGAAGGCACAAGTGGTCCCCATGGTAATAGGAACATTGGGGGCTGTGACCCCCAAACTGGGAGAGTGGCTCCAACAGATCCCAGGAACAACATCTGAGATCTCTGTCCAGAAGAGTGCAGTCCTAGGAACAGCTAAGATACTGGGCAGGACCCTCAAGCTTCCAGGCCTCTGGTAGAGGACCCAAGCTTGAAGGAAGGCATAAGCCTCCCTGATGATTATTGTACTGATGTGATGCTACCTTGTCAAATTCTTTTGCACGTCATGTTCAAACTGTGCATTTTGATCTGATATGAAGTTTTGTAGCTCTTGCAAGTGACACTTGTTTTCATGTGAGGTTTTAACAACGCAGACTCATCAACAGGACGTGAGAGATCATGTATCATCATTTCAACATTCATACAATAAAAGCTACAAACTTACTGTAAACATAAATGAGCCTGAATACAAGGTAGAAAATGAAAAATGTACTATGAGCAACAGTACAGTGGACACAAGTTCAGCTTGTTTCTCATGCTTTGGGAAAAAAGTGTCAGAAAACAATAGAAACTGGGTATCAATAACTGAAATGCACAGACACACTCTAAGTGCAGCCCTCTCTGGTTTCTGCTCTAGTGCAGTGCTTGAAAAGTGATTATGTTTGGATGAATAACTGACTTCAGGACAGACAAGCAGGAGCATAAAATAGCATCATACTCACAGTGTAATTCCTTATATATCCCAGCTTAGGTACAAGAGAGAAAGGAGAACGTTTAACTACAGTGATCCAAGAGAAAATTATACACACAGTTATAAGTCTGATATTTGCTGTCTTGTCTTTTATGAATCAAGACATTTTGGAGATGATAGCCTGAAGGTGTTTTCAATGTAAAATCCCTGATTTATTCTTAATTATTTCTGGTTAAATGTATTATTTATCATGCTTTTTGTATTCAAGTCAAAGTAATAACAAGGGTTTCAAGCTGACATTTTAAAAAAATATTTTAGTTAAAATGACCTTTTGATGTCTTGAATCAGAATTTAGGGTGACAAATGATTGCTGAAGTTACAACTGATAAAGCACCTTCTCATGGTAAAAGGACTATAATAAAAATTTATAGTTCCATCAAAACAGAATATAGTGTGTGTGTTGATAAACAGGCTGCCAGATAATGATCTCTACTCCTGGCAATAAAACAGGTTCAGTAACTGCACTTCTGAAGTTTCCTATCTCAACAGAACTGATATACTTAATTTTGTTCTTTTTTTATGCGAAGCATAAAGACTGCAAACTAAAGTGACCAGTTTTGTGTTCTGTTAAATAATACCATCTTAGCTAGAACATATCAAGGCCTAACACATAAAGCTAGCTAGCAGCTGTATAGTACATTAACTGATCTGCTAAATTTCTATTTTTTGTTTACTGCAAATGACCACTCATTGCTACAGTTATCTGTGTATATGGCAGTGGTAACAAATTTACAATGGCAACAAACCTTGGAAATCATGTAACAATATAGGAGTTTTTACTTCTTTTAGCCTTTGTTAACATGAATGTAATGTTTTAAAAAAGCAAGTATGACTAATGTTTATCCTCCACAAAAGGGTTTCACTAAATGGAGATGTTACAATTACAAATAAAAAATAGTTCTGACACTAAAACAGCATTGTGAAAGGAAAAGCTGTTGTGGTACCAGGGTGGTACAATCACTACACGCTGTACATTTACTTATAAGAGCCTGGGTTCAGTCCCCAAATCAATAAAGTAATTTTTATACAGTGTCTTAACTTCTAAAGTTCACTGCAAGTATTTTCCTAATTTACAAAGATTACAAATAAACTAACTAAACTATTTGCCTGTAATCTTTGGACAACTGCTAACCAGACTTGTTTTAGCTAACTAACCACCAACTTCCACCAAGGTTACTGAAAGGAAAAAGTTTGTCATTTTGGGAAATATAATTTATTCCCATCAAGAAAAAATAACTTCCATTAATTTTTATTTTATTTATTTATTTTTGTACAAAATTTACATTATTGTTTGTGTTGTGAAAAATTAGACGCAAAATATTCTTTTGAAATTTGAAGAAAGCAAATCTAGCAGTTTCTCCATTGCCAGTGTATATGATCTACCCGACTCAAGCTGCCTCCTTAACACACAAACATGAGAATAGTATCAATTTCATTTAACCTATAGAATTAAAAAGAACAAGTGTATTTCCCAAAAGGCCCTTTATTCTAGCATATAACATTTTCTAACTTTAGAGAGAATGAACACTACAATAACAGCATCATGATCAGTTCCTGTAATTTTCAATGACATATATCATTTGCTTATTTCATGAATTTTTGGAACAACTTGTCATTTATATATTCTTCTGTCAGCCTCACTGATGATGATGATACGAAAGGAATTTTACCTTGTTTCTTTTAAAGTAGGCTCTGCGGCAGGCGGCAAAACACTTCTCACTGCAGAAGCTCTTCAGCTCACTTCCCATGCTCAGAGAATAGCGTTTAACGCCAACCTTCTGGCACCAGGCGCACATGATCTGCACATTGGATACATCATCATCTAGAGATAAACAACCAATAGTGAAAGTGAATTAGGATGGAGTGCAAGTTCACTGTGTAATTTGGTGGAGCAAACAGTTACTCTTTCCTGCATTATCGCTTTATAAACTGTAGACATTTGTCCTGGACACACCGGTCTAAAGGATAATGTCAAACATTCTTTAACTTGTGTCTATTACATGTTTATTATTGATGTCATAGTTAAAAGTAGTGGTGTACTGGACTAAATTATATGTAGAGGTGTTGCTACATTTTTATCCTCAGCTACATATACGTATGAGAGGATCAGGATATTAGGAACACCTCTAAATATAATGTAGTCCAGTACGACACCACCTTTAACTGACCTCAATAATAAATATATAATTGAATGTATACATTTATGACAATTTCACCAAAAACTGAAATATTTTGAGCTTCATAAACAAAGATGTTAAGGTGCTAGTGTTGCACTGAAATGCATACTACTGTACAGGTGTACCTAAGTGGCTGATGAGTATATTAACATATTTTTATTAGCTCTGATATATTTTCACACAATTATTAAAAGCAAAGAATGACTGGATCTGTTATTTGAGACTCATAATGTCTTCTGTAACTGACCTTGCAGTACTTGTACTTTGTGATCAGAGTGGCTCTGTTTCATATTACAAAATACATTACACTTAAACTAGGGTAACTTGCAACTATTATTTTTGACGTCCATGGTGGAGTACACCAGCAGGCATGCAACAAGTAGATGTATTAAACGCAAGGAACAAAAGACATTAATTCCACTGATTCATCCCAGCTGCTGGACTGGTTAAATCCACTCAAGATTCAAACCACAAAACCACTGTAGGATTTGTGATGAAGCCCTGCCATGGGCAAATGTAGCAGAACCAGAGGAACCTGGGACTTGGGAAGATGCCTATTTGTGGCTGTGCTCTGTGGGCATTAGAGATGCTGAAGTAGACACAGGGATGTGTTCTGATGATGCTGGAGATAACACGGGAGGCTCTGGAGGTGTGGCCTTGCTGCTGAAGTGCACTGTCTGTTATTTGAAATAATCCTCATAGTCTGTGTAAGCTAACAAAGATGCAAGATGAGTGAGATTTGTTTCACAGAACAACACATACAGCAGAGAGAATTACAAGAAGGCATCTGTAAGAACGCTTTTCCCTGACTGACAAGTTACACAAGTCTGAACTGAACTGGCCTGATGTGGAGGAAACCCCACCCATCCATCCTCTCCACTTAAACACAAAAGCATCTCTGAAACCACAGTATAATTGTGGTTTTAGTTGTTCCCTTTTTGTTCCCAAATTATTCAGGATGAGGGCACTTGGAGGGCAAACAGAGGGAAGAAAATTAAGGAAATATAAAAAACACGAGGGAGAAGAACCAGAAATAAACAAACACACATACAAATTTTTCCTGCACCCCACAAGGGCAGGCACAGGGACAAGCCAACATTTACATCAAAGACAAGCCTGGACTTATAATAGAGTTACAGTAATTTTGCAAATATTAATGGGATGGGATGTTTATGTTACACTGAACTGTCTGATGATTGTAAACAGCTATGATGTTCACTGGGCAAATATAAAAAGAAAGTTAATAATAAATGACCACGGAGAGTGATCATTAATAGTTGATATTAGGATGTTTCTGTTTGTGGGTGTGTGGAGATTTTTGCAGTTGTTCATCAATAGGTAGACCTCATGTATCTACTATTTATTCATTCATTAAGTGCAAGTGTGTGGGTTTATCTATGTTAATGCTACTTTGTCAAAATTCATGACCTGTGTGGGTGGGTGGCCTTGAGTTCTACTAACAAAGGCTATGAGAACATATTGAAAAAAATGATCATGGATTTACAGGTCAAAAAGAGTATGTTTTAAAATATAATAAACTTCTATCAACAGCTGACCTCAACACAATGTTTTTAGAACAACACAATGCAATAACAGGCTTGACCTGAAATCCACTGCATTCTACAATAATGGCTTTAAATCTATCTCCATTTCTTAAACTTTGATTTAGAGGTATGTCCAGTAGCTGCAGTGCTGCTGTGTGGTCAGTGTGTGCAATAAATTATTTTAATAGACCGTTGTAAGATTTAGTGAGGTGGTGGTTGCAATAACAGGCTTGACCGCTACAGTACTCCAGTTAGAGAGTCTCGAGTCATCAGATTAACCATGACTGTTTATTTCTTGAGAGCATACATATCATCCGTCAGTAATAGTGAAACACCTTTTGTGTGGTAAATAGCAATTTCATGTGTTGAGCTGCGGGTTTATAGTGCAGAGAGAGCGATCCTCTGAGATTCCCTCCAGTATCACCCAATTATCACTTTATGACCGTGCAGGTGTGAGGGTGAAAAAACACAGGCCCTTTAGTCTTTACCCCCACTCACCTCCTTATCGCACATTGGCTATGCTTTTCACTTCGTAGTGAACTTAATGGATCTACAGGGCCATCAGATTTTAAGTAAAGACTCACTCACAATTAAGAGAATAACTCCCTAGGGCCCTAAAGACAGCGTAGTGGATCCAACATGCATATTTTATCTTTCCTATAGCCTCTGTGTCTTTTGTGTCTGTGTGGATTGCTGCCCACTGCAGTAATAACCAAAACACAAACAATAGTTTTATTCTAAGCTGACTGAGTACATGGTTTAGGGTTTGTATACTGCTTGGAAAAATGTACATGTACAGGATATACCACATGTAATGAATAGAATCTAAGGTCAATATAAAATATCTCAGGATTTTCATTCAAACAGACATCTTGAGGTGGTACTCTTCACTTTCCCACATCCTGGCACCTTGTAACAAGCCCATCTCAAAACACTCACATCTGCATGAGGGGAAAAACACGGCAGTAATTATGCAGCCTCCACACTAAAATGCCACCGTAATCTGCCATACCTGCACCTCAAAAGGTCCTTTGTCAGATTTTGAGGGGCACATGAATAATTCAGCATATGTGTGGGACTAGGGGGTGGGTGGTGAGTTGAAGGGGGTGTCGGCTGGTTGGTGGGTTGGTGCTGGGCTTTAAGTGGAACTACACCATCTGTTTTCCCACCTAGGCAGGGCCAGCAGGGACTCCTCTTGGGCGATGCCAAGGCGGCTTGCTCCCTCCGCCAGGGCTTACCAACCTCCTGTGCCACAGCAGACACAAGGGATAATGAAGCCCTCTGTCTGGCCAAGGAGCACGGACAGTTCCTCAGAGAGGTGACGGGGTAATGTTGACACTTGGGCAGGTGGAGAAAAACACAGTGTACAGCAGGTAGCTTGCTCATTAGTCGCCTTTCCCTGCCTAATGCATGGAGGTTTTCATTGTAAAAACAGAAACTTTTCTCCTTGCATAAACATTCAGTTTTCTTACTAAGTGCTGGAGAATTAGCAAGTAGGTTTATACTTTCTGTACGGTTGAATGTGTCTGGAGAAGAGCTGTGGAAGAAATCGCTGACATTTCTTGTGGTTGGGTGTTTAAATTAAGGACATGATTTTGTATGTGTTCATCAGCAAAGGGTGATGGACTGAAAATGACCTTGATATTTTTTTGAAACAGCTGAAATGTTATAGGAAGACTGGAGGTGGGCTGCTTTACCAGTTTAAGCACATTGTGACACTGTGTTTTGATAGCAGTCATGTTTAAGTGTTTTCTTGACAAACAAGAAGGTATGAGTCTGATCTCCTACTGCACATATGTCTTTCCAAAATGGTAGCGCTCCATACCTGCAGGGGGCTTGATCATTGGTGGGGGGACCATAGGAACTATGATGGGCAGGTTGCCATGTTCCTTGGTGCTGGGCGTGGAGGTGGATGGTGTGTTGGAGGGCTCTGTGACTCCGTTCCTAGAGGCTGGCAAGGACTGTGAGCTGTTGGCTCGATCAGGAGATCCTTCGCTGCTCTCCGTTGAAACAGGGATTTTTGGCAACAAGTTTTCTAGAAGGGAGAAATTTAAACAAAGTGAAGCATTACTGAACAACTGATGAGACGCTGCCACAATGTAAGAGCCTAGGATGGCTAGACTTTATATCAGTGGGTCACTTTCCACCACACTAGGGGCACAAGTGACAAAGCATGTTTGTTTTTCAAGATAGGCTTTGTTAAATTTCTGTTTAAGGTCCTTGAAAACAGTTTTATTCATCCATAATATTAAATATCAACTAAAGGAGGTTAAAGCTGGATTCATTAAATATTAAAAATATACGATAAATGCTGTCCACTTAAAGCAGTTAAAGTCAATAATAAGATACAGAAACCTTGGTTTACTAAAGGTATCATAAAAGCATGTAAGAAGAAAAATATATTATATAGAAAATTTTTGAAATTTAGAACAGATGCTGAAAATAAATATAAAGAATAGAAGAATAAATTGGTAAATATAATTAAAAACTGTAAAAAAGAATACTATATAAAATTATTGATAAAACATAGACAAAATATACAAGGAACATGGAAAGTACTAAATAGTGTAATACATAAAAGACAATATCGTGGTGAGTATCCAAGTCATTTTATTAAAGATAATAGAATTATAAATAATATTAATGAAAGTGTAAATGAGTTGAATGATTATTTTGTTAAAATTGGTTCTACTTTAGCAAATAAAACACTGCATCCACAAAACAAATCCATAAATATTGAGTCTGTTCATAATGACTCTAACTCATTTTTTTAAGCCCAACCAACAAACATGAAATATTAAAAATTTTGAGATTTGCAAAGGAAAAAACTGATGGATAAAAATGGGTTGGATATGTTTATAGTTAAGAAAATAATGTATATTATTGTTCAGCCCTTTACCTTCATTTGTAACCAGTCATTCAAAACTGACATCTTTCCAATTTAATGAAAATAGCCAAAGCTCTCCCGTTACACAAAGGTGGTGACAAGCATTTGTTTTCTAATTATAGACCCATTTCTTTGCTTTCACAATTTTCCAAAATATTAGAAAAGTTATTTGTTAAAAGGCTGGATAATTATATTGAATTAAATAATATTTTAACTGAAGAACAATTTGGTTTTAGAGCACATAGGTCCACAACAATGGCAGTTATGAATTTTGTTGACAATATTACGCAAGCAATAAATAAAAAACAGTACACAGTTGGAATATTTTTAGATTTACAAAAAGCCTTGAGCAGAAAGACACAATAGATCACAATATTTTATTATATAAATTGCAAACATATGGTTTCAGGGAGATAGCACATTCTTGGGTTGAAAATTATCTAACAGATAGGTTTTAGTATGTGCACAGTTCTCTCATCACTCCATATTTAACATATGGAGTAGAAATTTGGGGAAATACATATAAATCTAGAACTACTCCAGTCTTTTTATTACAAAAAAGGTCATCAGATTATTAATTACACATTCTCCATATAATACCCCAACAATTCCCTTGTTTATTCAGTTGAAAACATTAAAATTTTATGACTTGGTAGACTTGTGTACTGCTAAACTTATTTATAAGGCAAAACAACAAACCCTCCCTCAGTCTTTGCAAGCTATGTTCAGCGTAAGGGAAAGTAATTATGACCTTAGAGAGACATATATGTTTAACAAACCATATTGTAGAACTAAATTAAGTAGTAACTGCCCATCTAATAAAGGTGTTCAGTTGTGGAATAGTTTTCCTGATGAAATAAAAATGGCCACTTCATTACCACAGTTTAAAATACTTTATAAAAAAATGGTAATAAAAAGATATACTCAATAATAATAATAATAATCATAATGAATGTTCTTCTAAATATATATATTCAGAATACTCAGTATTTTTTTATATTAAATTTATGTCCATTAGTGTGGAGTATGGGTAGGCATAATAAGCTTTAGCTTCAGCCTACACCTTTGGTCAATAACATTGTTTTTATTTATTTCATTTTATTTTGTATGATTATGTATGTGTGCATACATGCTTTTATTCAAACGGGTGTGTATACCCTTATGTTTCATGCTTTTTTGTGTAAAATAATTGCAATTCTAATTTTGCTTGTTGACCAAAAACCTAATAAATAGATAAATAATGATTTTATAATAATAATGAACCAAAGTACTACATCTAATGTGAAAATTTGCTCATATTGACAAATCCAGAAAGAATTTACAACTCACTCTGCAGGTCACCCTCAGCTCTATAGAGCATTTTAGCTTTGTTTTGGTTGATGCTGCAACTTTTATGTTTTAGTTCAGTCTAACAGCTCTCATCAGCGCATGTCTGGCTGGTGTTTTCAATAAAAAAGGGTTTAATAAACCTGCTCAGCAGCAAACACAACAGTTTAATCTTCTAAAAACATTATTCTGCTTCATCAGTACTATGTGCAGGTAACAAGCAAATAGCTCCAAAACTGTCGCCACAGTTTTATTCCAGGTTTCTACTCTGACTGGTGCATCAACTGAGCCCTGCCCTTTTCAAATCTGCGAGAAAAGCAGGGACAAAAGCAAAATACAGAGATCTTTAATTTGAAATAACCAAAACTGTTTTAACTGTAGAATGATTGTGCTCATGTGGAAGCCCATCCCTCATAGTAAGGAAAGCCTTTAACACCAAGCGGTGTAACAAACTGTGTCAACATACTCAAAACATGAATAAGCCAGGGATTAATACAGTACTCTAAGTACTCATGGATCATCACTGATCCATGAGCAGCAAATAGTTACATTAGTTTCACTATCTTTTTATGCAGCACATGATCACCTGATGGATAATGAAGCAGCAAGGCATCCACTCAATTTACTGTATAGTACTTTAAACAAAAAAGCAACAATACCAAAATGACAAGTTTCCTACCTTTGAGGACAGAGATGTGCTGTGGTGTCTCCCCTATCTCCAGGCTGTCAGAGTCTCTCAGCTCCACCTTGTCGTAGCCGTACCAGCCCAGCAGTTCATTCATGGTGTTCTCTGCAAAACTCTGCAACACAAACAGTTGGCTGGTGAGACTCACAACAAAGGCCTAAAAACAGGAATCATTCAGACTAAAAAACAACCTGTGATCTAGACAATATACTTTGATCTTGTAAATCTTGCAAAATAACCTGCTAAGGTACTGATAAGCAGTGATGTATGAAATAGCAGCAAATTCAAGGTATGTAATCTAATTTTTTTTTTTATATTTTCAAATTAAATATAGGGTTATTCAAAAAGAATGAACCGATTTCATTACGCAATATTTTATTAAGGAAAAGTAATACAAAACTCCAGCCAAGTCACAAGTATTCCACCACCTGCAGCACAGGCAACATTAATGCAATAAGAGAATTCCTCCCAGGCGCGTATTAGCATATCACGATCCACTCGCCATTCCGAGGGTAAACAAATAACTGAATGTCGCCCCTGTGACACCCATTCAAAACTTAGATAACTCCTCTTTCAAATGGTCACTGACTCATTCCATGACGATGCTTGAGAACTGAAGCAACGTGTAATGAATCGCTTCATTCTTTTTGAATAACACTGTATATATACATCGTAAGGAGGAAGATAAATTAGACTTATGGTCAAATACACCAGCTTGTTACTTTGTTGCATTTGCTGCTCTTCTCCTGAGACCTTGGCTCTAAGACTAGCTGCTTAGATGTATCCACAATGCCAGATTTTTCTACTAATTAAGCAGAGATAGTGCCATTCCATTAAAAATCTTAAGGTTTGCCTGGAGAAAACCACAGTGTAGGCTGTCTCAACAGGTCTTCTTCATAAGTACAGGTCAGTCTAATTGGGGCTAACTCTTGTCCATATACCACTGTGTGCATCCAGCTGAACTAATGGCCCTATCACAGCACAATAAAGGACAAGGATCTTGTCAGAATGTAATCAAGAACTTAACACAATACTAAAACAGAACACAGCACAGTAAAGCTTCCCTCTTCCCTTTTCGCATCCACTGAAGATGCTGTCCCTGCACAGGGACCAGGGGACCACTGATTTATTCATTAATTTCATCCAAGTGCAAGTACAAGTCCAATGCCATGTCAAAGATAGTCTGTTGATTTTTAACAATTTATTTACACTGCTCAAAAAAATTAAGGGAACACTTAAATCACACATCACATCTGGATGAACAAATTATTCAAGTTGAAAACTTTTACTAATGTACACTGTATAATTAGTTCAGAACAAAATGACATAACAATGGTCAATAGAAACTAAAATCATCAACCCATGGAGAGTTGTATTCAAAATCATACTGAGGTGTTCCTGATATTCTGGCCCTCTCATATATGGAACTGGAGAGGACAAAAATACAGAAACACCTCTAAATATAATGTACTCCAGTACAATGCCACCTTTAACTATGACCTCATTAACAAACATATCATTGAATTTAAACATTTATGACAATTTCACCAAAACTGAAACATTCTGAGCTTCATAAACACAGATGTTAAGGCAGCGGTGTTGCACTCAATTGCATACAATTGTACAGGTGTACCTAATGAAGTGGCTGGTGTGTGTATGTCCATGCAATATAAACCTGAAGGCAGGAGGTGGACAGCCTAGCTTAGCACATAGACAGGAAACACTTTTTTTGTAGCACCTCAGAAACCTTGCTAATTAACCGGTGTTTCCCATCTTTACAGTAAGCTAAGCTAAGCTGCTAGCTTTAATTTCACATTTAGTGTAACACTAATAAAATCAATTCATACTACAGCTATCACTGAGCATCATGTGAAATACACTTCACAGTTCAGAAAATAAAATTCTGTGAACAGTATCCCATGTCCTACGACAGGGTGCCACCAAATTTGCATTGAGCAAGGCAATAAAACTGCAACATTCTCCAGCAGCACAGTAATACAGAGTGCTATGCAGATAGTTAGTGCATGTATGCAGTGCTAAATAAAACTCTATGCAGGTGAAACAACAAAGTGTTTCCTCCATAACAGCCCCTCACAACACAGTCAATAAACACCGTACTCAAACCGAAACCATAACCCTGCTAATGCACACAGCCCATTATCTCCATACACCGCTCAGCTGGAACATTCCCAGAAGTCTCTATTCACTGAACCCTAAACTATGGTAAATGTTTCAGCTATCATTTCACTGTAAACCACAGATGGAAGTGTTCTTTGTGGAAACAATCCGCAGCGGTGACTGAGGATGAATCATCTGTAATTATCTGGTCTATGTGATAAAGAATTAGTCACCGGTCACTGAATTATCAGCTTAGAGAAAAAAGTGGTCCTCGTTCTCTGAAATGACTTTTTTCCAATTATGGCTGACATATTTTTTTGAACTTTTTTGCCATAACGATAAACACTTAAAGGTAAAATTTGGACTAATGTAGCTTTAGGCATGAGATGTGCACCTTAATTAGGGCACAACAGCTTGTTGAATCATTATGTTTGCAAGGACAAACACAATGAATTGTACAGTATGTTGCCACAAAGACGACCCACCTGGTCCTGCGACTGGGCAGCTGGCTCCAGATCAAAATGACTCAGCTCATTATTATATAGCCATTTTCACCCTGTACATTATCTCATAACAGCAGCAGCCATCAGTCATCAGTCGCTATTGTTCATCAAGCAGTCAACTGTCAATTACACACAGCTCCTGTCGATATGTTAGAGCCGGGGTGATCATGTTGGAGAGGTTCGGTGCCACTCAACACTTCTGACTCTGAGCTGATCAAAATTTGTAGACACACACATAGACAGCATGTGTACATTGTGTACAACTGCTGTCTGATGTTGTCAAGGGGGTGAAGGCACATTTAGATTATTGTCTAGTCTGCAGTATGTCTGCCTCTCTCACAATATTTAGGCCTTCACTGCAAATTTGAAGTAAAGCGCGCCAGTGAATTATGCTTAAATGTTCACCTATGTTTAGATAAAATACCAAAAGAAATGAAAAATGACACTGTTTAAGACATCTATAAACATCTATATCAAATTTAAAGTTGCACATGTAGGCAGTGCAAATCTGAAAAACTGAGGGTGATTTCAGGTCTGCTCATTGCAACAACAACAACATTCTACAGTAGACCAGTCTATGATATTTTATGCCAAGAGGATGACAGAGAGAAAAGTTCTAACTTTGGTGAGTCCAGATTTCTCTGGAAATTCTTCACTCATTACTGAAAACAGCTCTGAAGTACTGATCTGTGATTTCCTGTGGATGGAAGAAGCACTTATCCAAAAACTAGAATTTAATTTGAGCAAATAAAGTGAAGGTACAATGCCTCAGTCGAGGTAGGCTGGTATTTCCTGGGGGATTTTCACAATTGATTTTGATTTGATTTGATTTATTCTTTCAAACATGTAACGACAGTCAGTATGTCAACACACATAATTTCACACATATCCACAAATGCATTATCAATTTGCTCATACCTAGAACATGCTTGAACGGAGTAGGAAGAAGTCAGACTTATCTAGTCCTACCCCATGACATCATCTTATCATCATTGGTTTGCAAGCAGTATTACTACATAAATAATTCTCTTCTACACCACACAAGTAATATACTAAAGAATTATAACAGAGTGTTAACATTCTTACATAATTACATACTTTGATAATTATCTTCTACATCACACAAGTAGAAATATTACAAAGTGTTAACATTCATACACCACACCCACAATGTTCCATCTAATTAATCATTAAGCCTGTTCTTGCATATATGTTGATTGACACATACCTTTATATTTATGTTTAAACTCATCAATTCTATTACTATTTTTTATGATTACACTTAAATTATTCCATAGTTTTACCCCACTTATGGAAATACAAAATCTTTTTTTGGTTGTACGTATAGCATGAATTTTATAATTTAACGGACCCCTTAAATTGTATCCCCCTTCCCTTTCATTAAATAGTTTTTGAATTCCACCAGGTAATAAATTGTTCCTGGCTTTATACATAAACACAGCAGTCTTATATCCCACTAAATCGAAAATTTTTAACAATTTAGACTGTATGAAAGCTACATTGGTGTGATCCCTAGCTTTGCCAATATCAATATATTCTTTGCTATTTTGTTTTGAACATATCTGATATGAGATTTCCAGGAGAATTTGTCATCAACTATGACACCTAGAAATTTAATTTCATATACTCGTTCTATATTAGCTCCCCCAATTTTCAATTGCAGTTCATTATCTAGTCTACGATTCCCAAATACCATAAATTTAGTTTTATCCAAATTCAGAGATAGTATATTACTATCACACCATTTCTTTATCTTCTCAAGTTCCTGTGAGACCTGTCCCGATAGTTGCTGTAGGTTTTCACCCGATGCCCATATGGTAGTGTCATCAGCAAATAAAACCACTTTCACTAAATCAGAAACCTTGCATATATCATTAATGTATAATATAAATAATTTAGGTCCCAAAACAGAACCCTGAGGCACTCCACATACAATGTCCAGATCACTCGATTGATATTCACCCAACTTCACAAATTGACGCCTCTGTGTCAAATAACTACTAATCCATTTCAGAACCATTCCTCTGATCCCATATTTTTCTAACTTGTCCATTAATAATTCATGATTGATTGTGTCAAATGCCTTTTTTAGGTCAATAAAATGTTGCATGTGTTTCTATAAAATAAGGGAAAGAAAGAAATGGTTTGGATGGTTCCTCACACTGACTCAGTATGACCTGGTGGACACTGAGCTTGGGGCCTGTCTGTGTCTGCAGACAACAGGTTGGTCCACTGACTCAATTACTTGATACAAATTCAATTAACAGAGGACAAACACAAAGCGCAGTTTGGATATTGTTAACAGTGGCATTATAGTAGGGAAGATACAAGTGGGAATCAGCACCCACCCACACACACTTGTGTAGACTGAAGCAGAGGTATCACTTCGCATATCTGAGACACTGTAGCACAGTATAGGAGCAGATTTTCTCCTGCTTCATCAGCACATTCACTCTGTTTCTAAGCATTTTAG